TTTATCCATGTTTCACAGTCGTTCCCGATGCGAACGAGCTCTTCAATTTTACGACATTTCCAAATTTTGAAAGCGTATTTCATCAAAGTCTGGAGGAAATGCGACGAAACGGCTACAAGATCTTGAACTAGGTATGTAACTGCGCAATAAACAACAAAATTGTTGCGCAGTTACATACCTAGTTCAAGATCTTGTAGCCGTTTCGTCGTATTTCCTCCAGACTTTGATGAAATACGCTTTCAAAATTTGGAAATGTCGTAAAATTGAAGAGCTCGTTCGCATCGGGAACGACTGTGAAACATGGATAAAAATGCATCAAAAAAGGAGGAGTGTGCGAGCGGTAGACTACTGTGCACATAAACATGGGATCTAACGAATGGTGTTCTACCTTGAGGTCAGAATTGGATTTTGCCCCAGCTTAAAAGGTAAAGCTGGTGACCTACTTAACCGATCCCGACCCATAACACATCCTGGAACTCGTTGTGAGGAGACGTATCTATAGGAGTTTAAATTTTTCCGTTTCATTCGCTTTCAGCGGAGTTATGGTAGTGCGACGGTCTTTGATAGGTGCGACGGTCAATCACCGTCATTTTTTCACATTCTGTGAGCGGTATTGTACGTTAGTTTGCTTTCATCTGCAGTAAATTTTTTCTTGAGAATTCAAAAAAAATACATTTATTACAGAAGAATCTGATTTTGTAATAGATGTCTAATAAAGTCGAGACCCCTCTTGAATTATTACAGATACGGTTATTCGGTCTCGATCCGTAAATGCAGCTCTTTTATCTACAGTGGTTGCCAGGGCAATGCCAACAACTTCGCAACACTTGAGGAATGTTTGAAGATATGCTCTTAAAAACAATTATTCGATAATGTGCAACCTGTACTCGATAAAAAGTTTCATGTATTCCAACCGCTTGTTTCAGGTTGTTCTCAATAGTTTAAAGGCAGCGATTACGAAAATTCAAGAAGGGTTTATTGTGACGTGGTGGTGCTCAATGGTACGCCAGTGGCGAAAAAAGCAGAAAAATCCGTCAAGAAAACGCAAAACGGGACCCCTTTTTGGCCGTTGGTTTTCACTCATGAACAGGTAACAGCTCAGAAAGTGGACGTATGAACGAGTTCACCGCAACGCGTTTGATGGCACCATGCCAAACCACGCTTTAATCGAGATGCTCCATTTGCGCCGCTGCTGGCCACGCAGCTCGTCCAAATCAACAAGTAAACTAGTGGGCGGATCGCTTTTGGGGGCGGAGTGCTTTCGAAGTCCTGCTCAGCAACCAGCGCACCTTTCGTTGTGAAAGCGCCACATCTCTCGCCTCCTTGGCAGCCAAGTAACTGCTTTTTGTGGGTGCTGGTAGTCGGCATGTCTCGCAGTTTTACGGACTCCCCCTTATTACACGCAATCGACTGCATCCTTTATATCGCTTACCCTATAGCATGTACGCGTAATCACTCTTGTTAAGGTGTCGAGTTTCTGCCTCTGAGCGAAGTATCGGTGTGTAGAAACTAATTCGACGAAATGTATGTCTGTCGCTGAAGAGCACGGCTAAAATGATCTCATATTGTAACTTTAATGAAGGTTCGGACCGTTCGTCTTGTGTTCCAGCATCCTAACAAGGGCGTTTTCTGATTTTACTTTCTTGGTATATCCTCCGTCGAAGTAGGTCGAACTTGTGAAGGTAGAGCATCTGTAGAGCCAAAACGATAGTGCTGAAGGAAAAACCTTCCCAAACAAGGCTCTTTTTTAAGTTTTAGAGAAGGGAGACCAGGCTTTCATCGCACTCTCACGGACAGCCTGTTCTAAAGGCGACCCGAAAAATGCTTACAAATGCTTCTGCTTAGTGAAGAGTCAACTTCTAACTTCTTCTCAATGATTTTGTGACCTTTGTGAAATGTTCTATCAAGAGGGATACTGTTCTGATAGAAGTCAGAAGGAGTGTTAGTAGTGAATTTCTTGTTCGATCTTCTCAAAACCTGGTCATTGTGGAATGGCTGTGTACTTCTTATTAGGCCGTGAGAGATTTCGATGGTGTACTCTGTATTGGCAGCGATTCTTAGGGAGCCTGCAATCCACCAATCGCTACGGAGCCTACTTGCTTGATTACGAGTGAGCAGCAGGATTACGCAATGGTAAAAGATATCGTTTATTGTCCTATAATGGCGGGATTGGCCGAATTAAGGGGTAGGTTGTGTTAGGCATATAACCAACAAACCTTGTACGTTTAACAGAGTAGTTCGCAACACGGAAAGTTAGTTAAAGACGTGCAGCGTGTCATAGGCACAATTTGCCGTTTGCCCTTAGTTCTTTTATGTCTTTTACCTCGTACATTGCTGAAGACCTCAGTTGTCTGCCTTCTTAAGGCTTATTTTCACGAGTTCTATAAGTGGCTCCACTCACTTTCAGATATTTCCCTCCCTTAACGACTATTCCAAGCGCTCCTCTGCTCTTTTCAAGGGGGTTTATTTTCTTCGGGATAAGATATTGGTAAACACATATGAACACGCAAAACTTCCTCAGCGAAATCAGAATAATGTTCAGTGCCAACGGTCTGGGACGGTCGAGGGAAAATACACTATCAACCTCAATCATCGCATATCACTACCTCCTCCCTCACTGAAGAGAAGGTCTGCGGTATGGTTCAGTTTGCTACATTATCCTAAGAAGAACGGCTGACTGGATGTTCAATAATGCCTCTATTCACAGTTTCTGTTACAGTAAGTCTTGTGTAGACTTTCTCGAAGAAGCTTCCACTAAACCGTCACTTTTAGGGACTACTACTATACGTATTGTCTACTTGTATTATACTAGCATACAACTGTTTTAAGAAAAAACGAAGTGCTGCGGGTGCATCGGCCAAAGTGAAGAAAAGAAGACGATTCTTATTTGGCCGAAAACGGAAATCGAGCAGCACCCCATCATTATACTCGCAGGTGAGCACTACACGCTATGAGGAGCAACAATTTCAGAACTGATGTACAAGGTAGCTGCCTGACTCATTACGCCCTCAGCTATTGGCGTCAGCAACCGCATTATGATACGGCGGGCTCATGTAGAGGTCAGCGAGACGAGTCAGGAGGGGGAAGAGTAGTTGGAGTGAGTAAGCCACTCACAATGGACTTGGGACTTAGCCTTAGGAAAGGAAAGAGGTTCAGAAAGGGGAACGTAAACAACCTCTCCTCTCCCTCCCATAGTGTCACCTACCCGCGGTTAATTTAGGCATGCCCTCGTTACCGAATGTCCCCCTTGGGGAGAAGAGCCTCTATGACTACATACCCTTGTCCCACATAAAATCATTTATGAACTACAAGTACCAATTTAGCTCACAAGAATTCAAGAAATCTTGTCTGCTTTCTCTCCATTCTCAACACACTTTCAGCACTGCTGATATATATGCTCAGAATTGGCGATTGTACATGCAATTAGGCTATTAGGCGATTTACTGATGATTCATAAAAAAGTTTTCGTATCGATCAGGCGATTAGGCGAGTATGCAATCAGGCGAAAAGGAGCAGGTAACAAGAAAGGGATGCGTATCGATTCGTTCGCTTCGCCCACTGAGCGGTCACCTGAACGCCGACATATGACCGCATACGACTTATCCATGCGAGTGTCAAGGTCACCACGCGACGTCGCGCACCGGCAGGCTTTCTCACGCGTAACCGTAACTAACGTAACGTAACTCATTTTGTGAATACAAATTTTGGTGAGCGATACAGCAGCCTGGGTGCCTCATAGCGACTTGCCCTCACAGCAGCACTGAAGGCTCGGCAATGGATAATGTTATCTTGCGCTCCGACGCAGCTCGTAAAAAAGCTAGAATTCCAACTATTGCAAGTTTTTGTAGTGGAAGGGTTTTGCCGACTCCTTTTTGGGCACTGAGTACAACCTGTCCTGGAAGTGTTGTTTGCATCCAGCTGATTCAATAAACTATTGCAGACTCAAGTATCTGATATGCCGAGAAGCGAAGCTCCTGAACCAGTTCTTCAAACGGCTAAACCTTTACCACCTTCAACACCGTCCAAGGAAGTTGATCAGAAAGCAACTTCTAGAAGCGTAGGCGAACATATTTTTTTGAGTTCTTTGCCTCTTGTGATGTTAACCATTGAACTGTTATAGAAGGAGCAGACAGAAGAGAAACAGAAAGTCGAAAAACAGGAGTTTTTGCCGTATCCTTCAGTGAGATCGCCGACAAAGAGCGCTAAGAGACGGCGAGAACTGGAGTTGCAGGAGGAGAAAAAGCGGAAGATTGCTGAGGGCTTTTATCAGGTAAATATTTTAAAGTCTTAGTTCAGGAGTATAATGGATAAGGGCAGCTTCAGCAGAGGTTACGTCCAACACAACGACATTTTAGCCACGTTCTGACGAAGATGACACTTTGGAGAAGGTCAGCAGCCTCAAGATGGAACAGACTGAGAAGACTAAGAGCTTAGTGAGCGGAGTAGCTTCGAAACGAAATTCATCAAGACGAAGATTTATCTCTCAAAAGACAGTACCCAAAGTGCATCCCACTCAGGACTGAGTTGTTGTTGCAGAAGGGAACGAGTTTAGTGTGAAATAAAGTATGACACACAGATTTCACAAGAATGCTGGGTTGTGAACAAAACTTTCGCCCCAGACGGGACTCGAACCCGCACCTTTTGCTTACAACACAGGATTGAGGAAGTCTTCTTGATGATTGCACCTTGGGAATCCGCTACCTGCTCCAAAAATACAGTAACTCATGAGCTCATTCAGCTGTTGACCGTAGTCCATCAGCAAAAGTTGGGATGTCAGGTTCACAGTTCGGGAGAAATAAACCCAAATTCAAGTTCGCATAAATCCTTTGAAGGCGAATTCGGGATTTCTATAGGAAATGAAAGCATTTGCGGGAGAAAAATGGATTGGGACGAAAGGCAGAACATTTGCACAAATGGCGTTATGATTTGACAAGGCCAAGGCGCTAAGGCGTAGGGCGTGCAAAATTGGCCCCGCCCAACACCACTGAATCCGCCCACAGACCTGTGCTATTTTACTTTGCCGCTTTTGAAGAAGGGGACTATTTTCGTTTTTGCGCGATAGTTTCTTCCGGTTTTTTCTTTGCTGGTGTCTTACTTCACATCTCCTTTGTCACATACAATCGCAATAACACATCAATAGATCCCGGGCTTTGCCTTTGAAGATGCTCGGCGCGCACTGTGACTTGTGGATCGGGGGACCCGAGTGTCCGAGGAGTCCTCGACGGGAGTTTATTGTGAGCAGATGTGGGGTATTGTATACGCACTGGTCTGCTCAGAAGTGGTGAAGAAGTGCTCTTGTTTTCGAAAAATCAAGAAACTTCGATTGCACCCGGCAGATTAGCCCGCAGTAACTGATAAGACTCCCACGAATTTGATAAGGAGCGCAAGGAGGCACGAAAGAGGAATAAAATGAGGCGTGGGTTGAGACACCGGGCCCCGGTTAGGAACGCATTGACTGGCAAGTCCCTCACCCTTCAATTGACGTGATAGGAATAGGTCCAGGAAAAGTCCAGTGATGTTTCATCACAAACCCATCAAAAATTAGCTTAGGCGGCTATAGCAAACTTAACTCTAGACACTCAGCCCAAGCATAAACGCTAACTACCGTTGTAATCCAGACGGGGGAGCTACTGGCCCCAAGCAACGCAAAGCGAAGCCTCCGCCTGAGAACATGGCTAGTTCTTGAATATCCTATGCAGAGACAAAGGTTGAGTCTGGAAGCTCAAGTCAAGCCAATTTCAGAAGCATACCTGCCAATGGCCACTGCCAACGCTCCAGAAGTCCCTGCTGCCATTGCCACTGTTCAAGAAGTCCTCCTCGTCATTGCCGATCTTCAAGAAGTCACCGTCGAGACAGAGAAATGTCAGAACGCTCAGAAAGCAGAAGAGGAAGACGATCTCGGACTCCATCAAACCGCTCAGATTCGTCGAAAACTAGTACATCATACTCAGGACGAGAAGATGACAAAAGAGATAATACTAGTAATAAACCTAACCTCCAAGTGTATAGTCTCTATCGTTCTTAACATTGCCGGCATAAACTCGAAGGAAATGCAAACGAAGTCACAACGCGATTATCTCGAATGTTTTCTCGCATTCCACTGTCTTTTCGGTCACCGTGGCAACTGTGACGTCGTCGCATCTGTGACTTAACGGCACACCCCCCTACTCGAGCTTTGCTTCGGCAAGCATGCTCCGATGCAACAGACTGTTGAGACACTTCCTCACACACAATTTCGCCCTGTAACCATCATAACTGGATACCCGAAAGAAACGTCAACGTGTCGTTCAAAAATATATCGTTGCTTCGATTTTCTTGTCCGAAACCGACACCCCAATTTCGAACCCTGATCAACGATTCCAAGATCGGACTGATATGAAGAATTTCTCACCAGCTGTATTCATAATTTGCTCGGACCTCTTACGTGGCAAACGCTCCCCTTCGAAATGGGTTGCAAGGCTTCTGTCAACCAAAGGGTGAGAGCGTAGCTGGAAAAGCACACACTTTGTGTCTTATTGGGACTAAGCCTTTTGAAGATAAAGAAAGAGGAGATGCTGTGATAGTGTGCACTTGTGAGAGCTCCCAGACATCACTACAAAACGCTGAACCGCCAAGGCTCACGGTTGACAGATGTCCTGAGACCTTGTCGAAATACCAATCTGTCCACGTCGGAGAAATCATGTATTGGATTGTTTCACTGCATGGGAAAAGTCCATTTGGGAAGGAAATCCCGTTGTGAAAGACTATGTTGGATAATCGCGCTGTGAAAGACTAAGTTGGATACAGCTGAGTGACGCCGCTCACCGTGATAGCACATCAATTTACCATTTTATAAACATGCATTCTATATACAACCTGTAAACGTAAAAGAGAGCACATAACCCGAGTTGGACACATGGGGACATGACACATGCTTACAACTATCTAAATCTAAAGCCTAAACCGAACAACGAACAACGCAACACTCGTGTAAGTAACGCTGCACAAGCTGATAAGACTTCGAAAACGAATCTTACAGGAGAACGATAAAAAAAAGTACCGAACATCAATGGAACGACTTACAACTTGAGGTACACTTTCAAGCTTCTGGTCTAATAATTAAAATTATGCTAAGTACTACAGAACTTCTACGAATGCCTGAGCAAAAGCAGTCACAGGTAATTTCGAACCTTAAAAAGCAGTTGGTAGAAATAAAACCCGCTATTTTCTAATTACTAAACTTGAGATAAGTAATTAAAAAAGTAAAACACAGTATGCATACATTCCTAGGACGTTGTACACGCAATCTCGCTCACAAAAGCATAAACATGTTCATACACCGACAGACGTGAGTTCCTTTCACGCTCCTTCTCATATGATATCAACGCCTTGTATACCGCACCTGAAGCAGATCCAATCTCTGTCGTGACAGGAAATACCAGTTTCGGGAAAACAAACAACAAAAAAAATCTTAGGTATCATTTTTGTACAGATCTGGAATGAAATCGACATAGCACCTCTTCCACCTTGTACCCTTTGGACCAGTTTTACGCGCTAGCGCTAGGATGATGGGTTATTAGCGGAACTTTCTGTCTTGGAAACAACTCACGCCCACAATTGTCTCATCAACCACAACGAAACAAGCAAGCAAGAAAAAGAAGGGCATGCGACTTCCACTATGAATCGGGTAACCACCGCCAAGCCGTCGGCCTACATTGCACCATGGAACATTGAAGATACCGAAAGTACGCTCCAGGTTTCCCATCACATAAGCCGCATCGCACTAACAACAACAACAACGCACCAACACACAATACTCTAATGCTCGCTGAGCGCCTATGAAGGCCGAGCGGCCTTGACTTAGAAACTTTTCCACACATACAAGAAACTTTTCATCTCGTTGCACATGAAGCTGATAGCGCACGAAAGCAAACTGCCTGAACCATGGTTCAACCTTCTTCACATTAT